GGATTGGGCAGTACGAGCAGTCCCACCTGAACAATCTGGAGGTGGGTTTTAGCATGTGTAGAGCTGTGGGAAACAAGGCAGAATAGGCAGCACCTCTGCCTAAGGACCATGGCATCAGAGACGACTCAGGAGATACAGTTTCTTTCCCTGGCTTTGTCACTGGCCTTCCAGATGATCTGGAACACATCATTTCACTTCCTCACCCTCCACCTTTTCTCCCTGCAAAACAGACACAACAACTGCCACCTTTCTCTGGGAGAAAAACCTTGCCATCTAGTGAAATATGCATCTACCAAGCTATTTACTGAACTGGTGTGCCTGCACGTAAATGCAACAGCAAACTTTTCACAGCCACACCATCTCACTGTTACAAAGAGCCGCAGACCCCGAGAACAATACATTAACCTCCCTCAATATGTGTAAAACCTTCGTATTATTCAGCTGCTGTTGCAGTAATTCTGCACTCTGCAGCAGTGTCATCTCTCTCCTTCTTTCCTCCTCTCCTACTGATTTCACCAGGCACAATAAATCGCTCTTTTCTGGAGCAGCTTCCTCACTCCTATGCCCACTCTCAACCATGTCACTGGGAAACAACACTACGCAATTAAGTCTGTTGTATTTCTCTCACTGACTCCTCCATGTAGGCTATATACACACACACACACAGATACACAGATATAATAATAGAAGGTTTATTTAGCCAAACACCTGCTGCCCAGATCTTTCATACAGTGTTATGAGGAAGAGAAAACAAAGCTTTGCAAGTAGGCTGGGAACAAAGCTTGCAGCAAACCCTCTCCTTTACTTCAGTACAAAGACTTCACTAGGACTGACAGGAAAGGGGAGATTTTTTTTAAGTTCCTTTTATAGGTGGAGATGAAACACAGCACTATCTGAAACAGTATCTTTTACAGGATCTGAAAAAAAGCTGAGGTATCATCTAGCTTACAAACTGTATCCTGCTGTGGGCCCCACCAGCACCCCAATAGTTTCCTAAGGTACTTAAAGCAGATTTAGGAGCTCCTGAACAGGCGTGAGAAGTTTATTAATCACATTACAGATGTGGCACATCTTGAGAACCCAAGATACACCAAGACAGAGCCATGACCCAGTAACATCAGGCAAACTGGGATTTTTGCAGATTTCCACACAGCCTAATGGAGGAGCGGGGGAAGTCAAAGCCAAGTGCTCATGTGAGCACTGGAACTAACACATCCTGCTTTTCTAAGGATGTGTGTCATGATTTATTATAAGATTAAGAATGCACATCTCCATGCAGTGATCTCCCCATAGACAGGTCCTTTCTCAGGCTGTGTCCCTCCCAAGTGGGCTCTCTAGTAGTGTGCAAGGGTTGAGCTCATCGGAAATCTTCCTGCTGTGGGGCTCCAATAAGGCCTTTGGCGACCCATTTTGACACAATCTGCAGTCATTTAATAACCCTTAAGACCAGTAGTTTGCTTTCAGGGGCATTTTTAGCCAAACTATGGGTTAAAAATATTCCTTGGAAGGAAGAGGAAGGGAGGAGCCAAACAGACAGTGAGATCACCCACCCCATCCTTCCATAGGAAAACAGGGTAAAAACTGCTTCCCCATGAACAGCAGTGGCTGCTGTTTCTTTTAAGTCAGGGCTGCCTAATAAGTCAGTTCAGCCATTAAAATTCACAAATATAAATACAAGGTGACATAGTGTAAAGCAGAGGTTCAAGGTAGAAATTTAAAGGCTTCCTCAAACAGTTAAACAACATATAGAAATTGACTTAAAACTTCAGTGAATTTGACCTGAGGTCTTAACCCTACCTCACCTACCAGCATGCACTTACAAAGCACTATGTCATGCCATACGGCTAAAGCAGGAGCAACAGTAAAGTTGTTTACATGCTACAGTAAATACTTTAAATACTGCCACAGTGACTACCACCAGTATGCCTAGGAATCTTATTTATCCTCCTGTCATAAAGCAAGGGTTCGAGCTTATACTGGCCGCCTTGATAAGCCTGATGAACCCTCCTCTCCCAATATAGCCTCTCTAAAAATAGATGGCAGCATGCTATAAAGTAGTTAGCCAAAAAAATATTTAAATTTAGTTGCTTATGGGTTGGTAGCCACACATTATGGTTATTTATGACACGGCTGCCACCCATGATTAAAAAAAGAAAACCATGTAAGTAACAAATGAAAACTTTTTTAGTATCATTATAAGGATCTTGAGCTGTGTGGCTCAGAAGTTGTGCACAAAGACGGAAAGGATTAACATAACTGGATTGCAGCTCTTGCACTGACCACGTTAAAGGTCGTTACATGAGATGGTGATAACAGGCCCGTATTTACACTATGATACAAAAGACAGGCTGCAAAAGCAAGCAGTATGTATAAAGAGCCCTCTGGCTTGCTTGCTTTTCATGCTGTTAGAGGCAGAGGAAGCATGAATGACTTTTGGTTGTGGCAAATCAGCAGCCAGCACTTTCATTTGCTATTGTGGAGAGGGGAATATTTACTCTGGGAAGATCACTCTGACCTCTGCTGGTCCCCTCAGAGAAACCCAGCAGAAACCGCCCGCAAGGAGGGAGGAAATCCCACAAAAGCAGAGCGGTTCCCAAGCACACAGGAAAAGATGGCCACATGGCTCCTGTATGGTCTATCAACTCATTCAAGGAACGCCACTTGGTTGAGCTTCCAATTTACTTCTATTTCACACTCATGTACAAAAACTTAAGTTTCTAGCCCTGAAATTTGCTCCTGCGGCTGCCCAGCTCCTACCACAAGCTGTGGACCAGTTCCTTTCCCCCTGGTTTTGACCCCAGCCCACCACCTCATCACTGCTTAGCCCTTGGCCTCCTCCAGTTTCACAGCCATCGTGAACAGCCTGCATTTGAGAGCTACCCTACAAAGAAAGTGCAAAACATAAAAGGGTAATACGCCCCTTACAACGAAGGGCCTCAGCGGCCTGCAGCACCACAGTGTGTCACACCCAATGGGTGGCTCCATGGGCCTGCAGACAGTCTTGCCTTCCTCGGCATTTTCAGACTAGAAGGAATACTCAAAGAAAAACCTCTGTCACATGTTTCAGTCTCCTCGCCATTACACCGACAGAAACGTGACCATGAGGCTTTACATTGCCGCAGCAGCGGTTACCCACTAAGTGCCGCGGGCAGTAACCAAAACAGGCCCTTCCATCGCCAAGAGGAGCTGTGGCTGCAAGAGTAAGCAAAATAACGGGCAAACTCAGCACAATGAGTGGGTGGCCCCTACTGAAAGCAGACGCCTCAAATACATCGCCTAGAGATACCGAAATTTCTCATTTAAGAAGGGACACCACCAACCTGGTTAAGCTTAGAAGCCACCTTTGAATGAAATATACTCTTTCAGAGCATGTGGTCAGCATCCCCCACTGGAGATGAGTTTTTCTCTACCATCTTCCTTCAGAACCAAATGAGCTCATCAGGAAGGCACAACCACTTCTGCTGCTGCTCAGTGGAACCACATCAGAGAAACCTGATTAAAAATAGATAGTAAGGGAAATACCAGTAAACCACACCAAAATAGCCAGCAGAAGGAAAGGGAACCAATTTCCCTAAGCCAGGCCTTGAGGCCAAATATTTTATTTTTTAAATATTAAAAAGCTGCCTTCTAAATATTGCTGGCAATTAACAGACTCAATATGGGTAAAACATGTGCTCACTCAACAGCCAGCTGAAAGGAGGCTGAAACTCAAATTATGTCCCTACCCTACACTCACCAGACACTAGAACATAACCAAGGCCAGTTTTAACCTGTGAGAAAATCAAACTTGCATTAAAACTTAAGGTAATGATATCCAGATTTCCTGCTAGCAGATGCAGCAGTCTGGGCATAACACAGAGGAAGAGTTTCTCCACAGAAACCGGTATTTGGTCAGTCAAGGAAGCAGAGGAGGACAGAGTACACCTTCCTCGGAGGAGACAACGCTCAGGAGGAAGGTACGCTTTGCACAGACAGGGCTGGACCATCTTTATCAAGCCGAGCGGCAAGACACCACCTCCCTATCTACAGCAACAACAAAAACGCCGCGTTGCTTGGGAGTAAACATCGCTATCTCCACAGAGCCCCCGGCGCGAGCAGCCGGCTGCGAGGCGGCCTCAGGCACGCGAGCAGGCCGTGCTGGGGTGTCCGCGGCTGGCGGTGCCACCGGGGCCAAGCCACCCCGGCGAGGGTGCCAGAGCTCTGGGCGCGGGCTCAGGGAGCTTCTCGGGGCTCCCCGTGGCAAAGTGTGAGGCCAACACCTCCCCGTCCCGCTGGCACCGGCGGTGACAGCCCCGATGAACACGCTCGGCGTACCCCTGAGTAAGGGTACCAGTGCTGGTGCTGGAGGGCTAGGTGGCTTTGCTGACTATATTTGGTTATGAAAAACACTCTGGGCAAAGCACCCATCCCAACATAAAGGCTATGGGTGAAGCGGGCCTGGTAGGAAACTCGGGTGGATTCAATCAATCCCTCGGGGCTTCCTCAACTCTCAGGCTAGAAGAAACGACGCCCACAGCCTCCTTGGTCACCGTAAGTTTATTTCACGCCAGCAAACGGGCCCGGGGGTTCCCTTCCCCGCTGCGGGAGGACGTTGGAAAGGGGAGCCGGGGAAGGGGTGGTGCGAGCGGCCAAGCCCGCAGCCGGCCCGGAGGCGCGCCCGAGGAAGGGCGGCCCCAGGCCGGCGTGCGGCGGGAAGCGAAGCGCCGGGCGACCCCAGGCGCGGGGCCCACCCGGCGGCGCCCCCGCTGCCACCCGCCCCCCGCGGGGCGCACGAAGCGCCCACCCCGCCGCCGGGCTGAGGCCCCGCTCCGGGGGCAGGGGGCAGGCGCACCGCCGCCGCGGCCGGCCCCTCCCCGGGCGAACAAAGCGGGGTTCTGCCCCGCAGCCTCCCGCCCGCCCCCACCGCCGGCTGCCCGCGGCGGGACGGGACGGGACGAGCTGCCGCAAGCCTCGCCGGTGGGGTGCGCTTCCCTCCCTTCCCTCCGCGCGGGCGAACTCACCCTCCTTGGCTTTCTTCTTCCTCGCCAGCGTCCCGCCTAGCTTGCCCAGGAACGACTCGTCTTTCTTCATTCTGTGGGGCCGCAGCGTCGGGGATCGGACTGGCGCGGCGGACATCGGCTTTGCCGGAGGAGTTGGGGGGGGGGGGGGCTCACCGTGGGGCGCCTGCCCGATCCCCGCCCTGGGGCTGAAGCGGCCCGCGGAGCCGAACAAAGCCCGGGAGCGAGGGGAATCACCCGGCGAGCCGCGGCCGAGCGCGGGGTAGAGCCGGCGGCGGGAGGCGGGGGGTGTGCGAGCCGGAGCCGCACGGAGGGCAGGGGGCGGGCTGGGAGCCGCTGCCGGCGGCCACAGCGCCCTGCCACGGCCTGGAAGTCCGCGGGAGGCGGGGGCGGGCCGCCACGGCCACGCCGCCCCCCCGAGGGCCCGGCCGGCCGCGGGCGAGCGGCGGGGGCTCACCGGCGGGGGCTCACCGGCGGGGGCTCACCGGCGGGGAGCGGTGCCGTTCCCTGCCGGGCTGTGCGGGCCCCCCCGCGCTGAGCGAGCGGCGGGCACGGGGGGACCGGGTGGGCCAGAGCCACGAGGGTGGAGAAAAAGCGGGTAAAAACCACTGCAGAACAGCGAAGTCCCGAGTCCCATCACAGCCAGACCCCAGGACAGAACTGAAGGCAAACTCCGAGCGGGCCACTTGTTAGGGCTCTGCTTAGCAGTTTCTTGCAGGCTACGTTCAGATTTGCCTCCTAATTTTACAGTCAAGCACCTCATCCGTCAGACTAACAAGCCTTTTCTCCCTGGCACGCTGCCGGATAGGTTTGGCATCTCCCGTGCGGAAAGGTTGAGGTGAAAGGGGCCGTAGGCGCCGTGTTTGCCACGCTCCTGTGCACTGAGGCCCACAGGCTCCTCCGGGGGGGACGCTGCCGCCTGCCAGGTCTCCAAGAGCTGCCGCCACCGTAAGCGTTGCGTGTGCACACAAAAACGGCCAAAACCGGGAAGTTGGTTTTGATCCCACAGAGATAATTTCTTACTGCTTATCATTTTACAGTACCCGGGAGCACAATAAGGGCTTTCTGGAAGACACATTAAAACCAGATCCTGAAGAGTTTATAGTGTTAGGTTCTGATCCTGCAAAGTCTTACACACATAGTCAGCTTTAAGCTCCTGAAGTGGTCGCGTTGACTTTAATGAGACTGCGGGGTGCCTAAAGTCACGCACATGCCTTTGGCTGTGCTCCTGCGAGCGGTTCCCCCTCAGCAGCCCCTGCCCCAACGGAGAACCACATTCAAATCAGTGTGACCTGGCGTAGGAGCAGCACGCCCAGCTTACAGGACAGACTTCCGTGCTTGATCTGACACAGAAGCAACACTATACAACATATCCAGACCCTAAGACAGCAGAGATCGTTTTCTGAGTGTATAGTTTCATGAGAGACTTAATCCAAGGTAATCCTGTCTATCACAAAGACCTACTCTTGTCCCTCACCTCCAGCTGCTTGTTGCTTTTCTACAGGCACTTAGGCAACTAATCAAAAAAAAACCCAGCAAACCAAACCCAAAATCACCCTGCCCAGCTTTCCGGTGTGACTGAGCATAAAATCACCCAAGGGCAAGTGCCCGCAGAAGGGAAGTAGATGGAAGACGTGACTAAGGCTGGGAAGATCCTTGCAAATGACAGTGCAGACTTGTATGAAGTGAAGATTTACACGAATTTGCAGCCTGATATAAGATGGAATGATGACTTATTTTGAGTAGACAGTAACTCTTTGGGAATCCAATTCTAAATACATCCAAGAGTGAACACTAACTTTTTTTAAATTATATTTTACTTTTTTAAGATGAGAGTTTCGGAAGAAGGTGCCAGATTGGAGTGACACATTTTAATCCAGTTTTGCAATTATACAGACATTACCCAAGAACAGGAGAGGTATTGCTGCCATCAGTGGCACAATGGTGGATATGGGAAGTTCACATGCCTTTAAGATGAGCTATGTGTTTCGGGAGCGGGCAGTGCAGTCCACCAGCTGAGGCACGGCTGGGAGCTTTAATGAAGAGCCTGTAGCTCACCCTGTGGTCACAGGCTGAAGGGACCCGCTGCAGCCAGCAACTATCCCACTGTGTATGCTGAGAATATGACACTAGTGGGATAGTTCAGGGCTGCCCTAAACTGCAAGAAAAGAAAAGCTGCACAACTCTTGGCACTTCATGAAAATGCCTTTCCATTAAATGAGGTGGCAGCTGTGGAGGATCTTTCAGAATACAAACCCAGAACAGGAGGGTGTTTGAAGTGGAATGTGTCTTTTTGTCCAACAGTGCAGGTTGCAGTTTGAGAAAGTGTAAGAGACTGAGCATTTTGCATTTCTGTCATAACTGCTGTTAGTAGGACATGGAGCAGTTTCTAAATATAGAGATACTGTTAATTTACCTATGTTGCATTTAAAAATCAGTATATTTTTTAATAAAATCTGTAAATTTTAGTATAAAAATATTTTGCTTTTCCCTGTTGAAAGTAATATTTAACACAGCAGCTAATGAAGGATTCAAGAAAACAATGTTTGCTCATCTGTTTGTCTAATGGGATTTATTTCTGCATTTGAATCATAGGTTTGCCCTACAGGCTCTACTTCTGTTGTGTTTTGCCAATCAACAGGAGAGTGGCAAATAGACAAATACCATTTCAAATCATAGAACTGAGGGGTAGTGACAAGTTTGGAATAGGACCTGCAGCTGCTTTTTGATATTCGCCTTTAATGGATTAAAGTTTATAATGTTCCTCTGCTCGAGCCACCTACTGCTCCAGCGCAGCGAGGTCCGAAGTCGCCCGCAGCACCGCTGTGCATCACTGGCAAAAGCAACCAAGAACCAGGAGTGCTGTTCCTGTGTCTCAGAAGTCCTGCATTGCAGGGAGCTTGGACCAGGGATTCCTCATCAGATTAGTGAGCAGTATTTCCACATCTGTAATTTCCTCAAGCCCCAGACTACCATTACGTGTTACCACATCATTTCAATATCTCACAAAATCATATATACTATGGATTTTAACATAATGGTCACTCTCACTGGCTGTGCAAGCAGCATTAGCTGTTTCTGCAAGCCATGTTTCTCGTCTGCTCCGCCAGCCAGGCTGCTGAGTGGTGATCCTGCCCTGCTGAGCTTCTCCATTCAGGAGTCCTGGGAACGCTGAGTTTAAGAATGGATTTCGGTAGCAAAAATCTCAGGAAATCCTGGACAAAGCCCCTCTGAAGAAAGTATGGCTTCTCTAAAACCAAGCAAGGCAAAACCAAAGTTGTAACCACATTATGCTCGAGAACTTCAGGGACCACGGCAAGCCCCTGCGTAAATTAGGGCAGTCCCTCACATCAGGCCCAAACCTGAGTGCAACATATGGACTTACTAATTGATCGTAGAATCTATCATGGAAGCAATTATAAAACTTCACTATTTTGTTTGCATAAAGAGCAGTGAAAATTATTATAGAGAACATACAAACAAGGCATACCCTGCCACTGTTGCATCAACAGTGCATTCTGCACATTTTCCAGCTTCCAGTAGGTCCAGCCCCCAGACCAGACCAGACCAGAGGTGCCCACCTCTTCTTGCCAGGGTACTGTGGAATGCAACAAAGGCTCCAGGTACCTGAGGAAAGGTCCTTTGCTGACCAAACCTCTCATTCAGCCCACATACTGCCTCGAGGGGGTGGAGAACAGCCCTAGTATGTAAGTGGCACTGCCCAGAATGAGAGGAACTACTCTGTCAAGCGTAGGAGCTACACAAGCAAAAGATGATGCCAGAGGTCTTCAGGAACTCATGTTAAACTGGTGTCCAGTTTTTTTTTTCTTTTTTTTTAAGCATAATTTCTTCCTTTAAGCACTCATCAGTAAGGTATCCTGAAACTTGAACAAAATCTATTTTCTCATTTCTTCCCTAAGTTTCTTTCCTCTATTTCAGAAATCAATTTCAATAAGTGGAAATCCTGCTTAAGACATTGGCTATTACCTCAACTTCTCTTCCTGTTTCCTTGGCAAGTCCCAAACCTGCCAATGGCTTTCAATTCTGATCTGGTTTTATTCCCGGATACAAGGAAGCATCCTGTGATCTGTGTTGCATAGAGCATACAGAAGGGATTTTATAAGGGTCTGTCTGCACTAAAGGCGTAATGCATAGCTGATGCAAGTTGCAGTGACCACACAGTCTTGTTCTGCATCTCCCAGCCCCATGTTCCCACTGTTCTTGGGCACTGTGATAATCTCACGTGCTCACCTCTTCTCTAACCAGCTCAGATTTTCGTTAAAGGTTACTGCTGCACCAGGACACTCATGTTTTGCTTTGTTACAGAAATGTTTGCCCTCGCTCATAGATAACAGTGCCTTCAAAAAGCTGTGAACTTTATGCTGTGCTGATTTTGGAACGTGTAGCAAGACTAAGACTTAAAACGGAGCATTTTGTTCTTCATTAGACAGCCCACTGCCCCAGCTTTAGCCCAATAACCTCCTCCCTGCAAATATTTGATCTTTAAACCTCACAGCAAGAAAAGCCTGTCCTGTGTTTGCCCATAAAGGCAATGATGTTGATTACTTTTTATTGATAGTGCTTCTTTGGAAGAACAAATAAGTTCTGTTTCCTGAAACAACAGTGTGTTGCCCATAGCAAAGGCTTTTAGACTCTAAGTGTGAAGTTACTGAGGCTGGGATCAATACCAGTTACAAACCCACATCTCACTTAAATGATTTTAAGGTTTCAGGCTATAGATAATGAATGTTTTATGTTGATTTTCTGTGCAGGAGGGAGTTCTTCCCTGTGCTCTTGCTAGTGGAAAAAGTGGATTAGCATACCAAAAAATTCAGCTATTCTACTTTGCTCAAATAACTACACTTAAATTACTACACATTTTTCTAGTGAGTATTTCAACCCTTGGAGTTGCTAATGAGATGCACACCCAGTTTGCCACCCAGATCCACATACGCTATGAATACATGCATCTTTCACACAGTTGTGTGTCTCATACCCAAAAACACAGCTGCCACGCTCCTTCTGTACCAGGTTTGCCAGGCAAGTGTGGCGTAGCAGCATTTAACAGCAGCAGTGCCAGTACTGTGAGCGTTGAAAAGTTGCATCTTTTCTTAAATAATTTAACTCAAATACAGCTCCTCCAGCTTTTGGGAGGAATGCTCTCAAAAACTTCACAGTGTGGAACCTACATGACCCGTGAGGCTTGTGTGTACAATACAAGCCCTGGTGGTAAAATTAATTCCCACGCAGCACATGCACCCAGACAAAGACCAGGCACACGTCATGAGAACGACAGTCCCTGTAGTTCTTTCTACACTGTAAGTTAATGTAATAATCGCTACTTCAGAAGAATAGGAGGGGAAAAAAAG